CTCTCTTCTATTCCCAACCTCTTTTTCTCTCAACTTTTCTCCTTCCTAAACCTCACGCCACTCCATGGCTCCTCCTAGCTAAACCTCATGCCTTTCCTAGCGTCCTAGCTAAGCTAGCCTTCTAACACAAACGGCCAAATTCAAGTTCCTAACCTCATCTAATATTAGGCATAAGCCACTTTGTCACCAAAGCACACCTAATGGGGCTATGAACAGTCAGATTCAAGTCAATTTCAGTGGATTTCAGGCAGTCAGGTCCTACCATAAATATACTCTCATCGCTTTGTTACCAGGCCAAACAAAACCGGGCCATGGCCATCACTTCATTACAAGATCGCCACTTCCTGTCAAATCACAGCAGGGCAGCAAGCGCGGCAGCGGCGACAAGAGATACGGCTACGGATGCACCCACACACCCAGCGCCCTTGCAGGGCGGAGGAGAGGGGCCCCGGGCAGAGGGAGAGTCTATTATTGAGGCGCCTCAAAAATAGGCCACACCCAGTGCCCTTGCAGGGCGGAGGAGAGGGGCCCCGGGCAGAGGAGGTTTTTGAGCCGACCCAAACCCCGATTACAGCAGGGCAGCAAGCGCTACGGAGACAAGAGATACTGCCACGGATGCACCCACACTCCCAGTGCCCTTCGGGGGCGGAGGAGAGGGGGGTGGGGAAGGGGGGGAGGCGGTGGGGGAAGAGGGGGGGGTGGTTGGGGAAGAGGGGGAGGTGGTTGGGGAGGAGGGGGAGGACGGGGATGCAGGACTGGGTGCAGCAGGGGAGGAGGGGGAGGGGGTAGCCCCGTCAACCGTACCACCAGGCGATGGAGCCATTGCCGAGCCTGGCGCAGGTGCCATTGCCGAGCCTGGCGCAGGTGCGGAGGACGGAGCTACGGGGAGCGAAGGCTTGTCAAAGGCGGTTGCGGGAAGCGGGGGGCGGGCGAAGGGCGTGGTCCCCGTCTTGTACGGGTACTTGGCACAAATTTTCTGGTCCGGCTTCCGGCCCGGGATCTTCTCTGCTCCGGTGGTGTTAACCGAACCAGTGGGGCAGGTTTGGGGGATGGTGAGGGGATCGCAGCAGAGAGGCGTGGCGGGGACAACCTGGGGCCCACCGTAACAACCCACGTCCTGGAATCATGGAAAAGGGGGGGGGGGGGGGGGGGGGGGGGGAAGGGGGAAAGGGGCGGAAGAATAAAGCGCAGGGGAGGATAGTGAGACACGGTGGGAGGGTCGCAGCAGAGAGGCAGTGGAGAACCTGGGGCCCACCGTAGCAACCCACTTCCTAGAGATGGAAGGGGAGGGGTGGGCAGTGCAGACGACGAGAGTTGAATGACAGAATTGCTGAGTTCTAGGGGGTGAAAGGGAAAGGGGGGAGAAAGGGGTAGAGGGGAGAAAGCGGAAGGGGGAGAAAGCTGTAGGGGGAAGAAAGCTGTAGGGGGGAGAAAGGGGTAAGGGGGAGAAAGGGATAGGGGGGAGAAAGAGGTAGTGGGGAGGAGGAGATCGAGAAGCAGCAAGCAAGGTGAGCTTTTTGAACACATTCAGAAGGCTGATCTACATGCTTGTATAGTCGTGCACTCCCTCACACACTCATCCATCACTTCTATTTGAAAAGCTGAAATGAGTGGCAGGTTGCTTTTCTGTAGACTCGCACGGGACAGGACAGTACGTCGTACGACAGGGTGCCCTTTGAGTGGACTCAAAAGCAGACTCGCATAGGACTGTTCAGTACGCAGTACAAAAGTTCAGTTAATGACGACCATTGGGATCTCAATTGCGGACAGTACGCCGTACAACAGGGTGCCTTTTGAGTCGACTCAAAAGCAGAATCGCTAGGACTGTTCAGTACGTTGTTCAACATGGCTTGGGGTACTCACTCCGACTCCAGCAGTGAAGCCTGGAACGGCCTGTGCTATAAGGGGGACGATTGCGCCCTTGATAAGATCCTCCGGGACGTAAATGATATCGCTGAGTGCCAAACTACCAACTGCAGCATTAGAGGGGGAATGGAGAACAAAGGAGTGGAAGCAGAAGAAAAAGAGGGAGGGAGGGGAACAAACAGGGGGTCATCAATTCAGGGTTTGGGGGACTGAAAAAGACAGAGCTGGGGCAGGGGGGAGAAGTACGAATAAGGGGTCCCGATAGAATATGAATGTAAGTACCTACTTATGATGATATTATCTATTTGTAAGGTGTAACAACACCAGCACTCACTCGAAAGTTTGGAGCACTTGTCGTAAAGCTGCTGTGCGAATTTCGTGCACACTTGCATGTAGGGGCCGGTGGGCGTATCGATGAAATAATACCCGGAATCTGCAACGAATAAAATCTGAAATTAGTGAAGTGTTCATTCCGGCCAGAATCGGGAGCAACAGTGCGCCAAGTGCTTTCATTGTCAATCAACTGGCATAACACTCAACGTGGGGTTGAGTCGAAGAAAGGAATTATAGAAGAAAATCAAATCTTCCACGGAAGGTGTGCGACTTTTCAAGGAAGGCAACTTTTTCAAGGAAGACATTCGCGGCTCGTTCGCGAAAAAGTACTCACCCGGGTTACACGTTACGGCGCACACGAGCTGTTCGACGAGCTGCTCGCACTCCTCGTGGCCCTGGAACAGCGCGCACACCTGCGCCGAAAAAGGGCGGGGGGCGGTGGGGGGGGCGAGGGTGGGAGAGAGAACCAACACGGACACGGAGGGGGAGAGAGGGGTAAGAAGGGCGCGCGCGTTGCTCGACGAGCTGCGCACACTCCTCGTGGCCCTGGAACAGCGCGCACACCTGCGGACGGGGAGGAGGGTGTGGGGGCGCATTGAAGCCAGTAAGCGGGGCAACGGAGGGGGATTAGAGACATTGTCGGGAGAAACCAAAGAGGCGAGGAGCAGTGCGCTCTTAGAGGGCTCTTCGAAGTAACCGCGATGCGATCCGAACAACGCAGATAGTGCACTGCACGCCACCTACATCTGACGGGATAACTTTTGAGTCGACTCAAAAGTCATCTCTTAGACGGGTATTTTGGAGTAATCGCGATGCGATGCGAGCAACACACATAGTGCCACACCACCTACATTTGGCGGGATAGTCGCCGGATCAAGTGCTCCCCCCGTCGCTGGCTCCACGGCAGCAGTCACATTTATCGCGAGCGCTTGTATCGGGAACGTAAGATCCGCGCAGTCCTCGCAGCACGAGAGCTTCTGCGCCTCCACGCACCGCGAGTGCGGAATCACCGGCTTCGTCGGCGGCTTCCCCGTCAGCGGGCACGCGGGGTTGGTCTTCGGCGGAGTTGCCACCCCCGGCGGCGCAGGCGCGGGGGCTTTTGCGCCTACGGGGGGAGACTTCCCCGCCGGGGGCGCGGAGGGGGCGGCTGCTGCGAGCGGCAGCAGGAGGAGGAGGAAGAGCGGGGCCATGCGAGCGCGGTCCATGGGAAGACGCGGCTCGAGGAACCTCGGTTTCCTCAATGCTGTTCGTGAGTTGGTGGGGGACCTCTGACCAGGCGACACCTTTGCCCTCTGAAAAACAAGAGCTAAGTAGTCAGTAATGCAACAATGTGCTGTTGTACCAAGAGTGAGTGGAGTTTCCACACTGGGCTTGGGTTGATCCGCTGCACCGCACTGCAGCGTACTGCGCCCTACGTTACGATGCCGCTGAGTGTGGGCGTTCGAGCAGCCACCTGGTGGATGGCTGCTTGAAGAGAGGGTGCTGCTCCTGAGGTGAGAGAGACTGGTGGTTGGGCTATCGGTGCTGTGCAGTGGAATTGTTGTTTCCACTTCGCTGGGTTCGCGAAAAATGGCTGACGACTGAGAGCTTGGCACGCGCCCATACGTTTTTATCGCGGAGCGACCCTGCGCTCGCAATTGGGGACAACGGGGTGACGCGAAGTGAGGATGCGGAGCGCAGTTGTCGCGAGTCTGAGGAACTGTACATCTTCGCACCGACAAGATCGGTGGCTCGCGAAAACCTCCCGAACCAGGAAGCTGCGTAACCGCAGGAAACAGAGACGTGGTAACACATACTCCCTATAAGGGCGTGTAACATTTTCACGAACATCTTCCGAACCGAACATTTACCGTACTGTACCACGTTTTTCTACTTTCAATCGCATTCAATCTCACCAGACCGCGTTCAACCTTTCTGAATGGTCGACCCTGAGGCTTGTTTGTAAAAAATGTTATACGCCCTAAGGGCGTGTAACATTTTCTTGAACATCTTCCAAACCTAACACTCACTGTACTGTACCATGTTTTTTCTACTGACCATCGCAGTTAATCTCACCAGACCAAGTTCAACCTTTCTGAATGGTCGACCTTGAGGTGTGTTCGTAAAAAATGTTACACGCCCTAACCTCGTGAACAAGTAGGCTGTTCAAGAGTTTCAAAAGAAGAAAAGAACAGCGCTTCCGATCAATTTGGTCAATGAATTCAACTCATCTGCTTAGATGTACTGCAATTTTGTTCCATTCGATTTTTTCTGAACATCTGATTCATCATAAGCATCAATTCTCGAGTTGCTCATGGAAAAATGAGGTATATTTGAAAGTTGAATGGTGAAGGGCCCTTTTGCACATCAGGCTGGTTGAGTAAAGAGAGGATTGCATCACAGTCAGCCTTGTGGGAGGTGATTGATTGTGCTTTGTCAACCACGTGATCGCCTTCCATTGGCAGATAATGTAACCACGTGGAATTTCTGCGTTTTCCACGACAGAGACGGCTTCCTCCCCAGCTGAACACGCCTGCCCCATGGCTCTCAGCGCGCAACGGCGCCAGCCGCAATCGTGGTTTCCGCTGACACTTGTGCGCATCCTTTCGGTCACGCAGACTCGCCAGCGGGGCCATGCAACTTCTCTAACGCGCGGCCGTGCCCCCTTCCGCTCTCCCCCAGTTTCCTCCCCCTTCGCGCCCATCCCTTCCAATTCCCATCCCCTTGCGCTGCAAGGCTTGCAGATTCCCAGCCTGCCAGATTCCCTCGGTATTTTCGGTTCCTCATTTTCCCCCCTCCTGTCTCGAGTGCCTGGTCATATAACCATGGGATTCCTTTTCTCTTGGGATTGCTTTCTCATCTGTGAGCCCTCTGGTTCCGTTTCTCGGCTCGGCTCTCTCGAATCAACTTCAACATCTTGGTTCCTGCCTTACATTTTCTTAAAATCGGACATTAGGCATCCGCCATCCCAGCACTTCAGGATCCGCGTTGTCTGATCCGAGTAGTTCTCTTCTCCGAGAGGAACCCGAGTTTCTCAAACTGTGGCTGACTCCGCTTCCTGATTCGGAATCCTCGCCGTGTGGTCAGCTGCGCAGACTATGCGTTGACGAAGCGTTCATGCCTCTGCTCGCCGGATTCCCGATTCCTTCTCGTCCACCGCCGTCGCTGCGCAATCTCCAGCATTTCCCTCCTTTGTCCAGCTGGACAGCACCACCGGTGTCCACGTGTCACTCGAATTCCACGTGTCAGTCTCCCTCCGATATTTTTAGGTTAGCTCCGTGTAACTCCAGTGTCCCTAGCTTCGTCCTTCCTGCCGTTTCTGACTCCTCCGCGCCTAGTTCTCCCAGTCCCACCTCCTCCACTCCTCCTCGTCGCGTGCTTTCTCTGCGTCTCGGACTCACTCCATTGTCCCCAATCGTCGCTACAATCACCCTCGCTAGTGTCACATTCACCGCTGCTCCTCCCCTCCTCGCTTCCTCCTCCTTCTCCTCCCTCCCGTCCGCACCTCTCTCTCCATCTCCCCCCGTCGAGTCCTCCAATCAGCCATCTTACGCCTCAGTCCTTGCGATCCCAGCGCCTAGGCGCAAGATTTTCCGTGCGCGGATCGCTAAGAGCGCCGGTAATCGTCAGACGAAGGGGGTTCAGGCTAAAAGGTCCAGTCAACTGCCTAGCTGGCTGCATTTATCCCTCTCCCAGCACCTGGCTACGCGCAGTTCAGGCGTAGCGAAGAAGCGTACGACGAGTACAAAAGCGGTTTACACCACTGCGTTAAAAGAGCTGATCTTTCCACAGCCTACCGTTGCCGCTGCCAGTACCTTAAGGACACTTCGTGGACGCAGCAGCCGTTTCGTCGCGAGAAGCTATTTCTTGGGCGTAGGAGGTCGGAGTCTGAGCCTTTCAGCTGGTCGTTGGAACGGCCTAGTCGGGTCCCGCAGCGGCGGCAGCTGGGCGGCGGTGCCTGTCGTTTCCCTCTTCTGAGCCGAACCGGATCTCCAAGAGGTGTCTCAACAGTAGCAGGTGGGTGCCTCCTGCACTGCCCTCCTTTTTATTGGGTGCCTTCTGCATTGCCCTGTTTTCCCCCTCCTGGTTCCTTCCCCCCTTCATACTTCTTTCCCCTCCCCACTCCCTCCCCCCTCCTCTTTAACCCCCTCCCCTCCCCTTCCCCCACACCAGCCATGAGGCTAAGCGTGCGCGCGGTGGACAAGCTGCGCCTGCACGTGGCAGGGGCGCTGAAGTTCTTGGACCTACTGTCTCCTTGATCCCCCCTCATCCCCCACTCCCGCGCCCCCCCAAATCCCCCCCCTCCCTCCTCCCCCTCCCTCTTCAGCCATGAGGCTGCGCGTGCGCGAGGTGGAGAAGCTGCGCCTGCACGCGGCAGGGGCGCTGAAATCAATGGGCCTGCTGGCCCCTTTATCCCCCTTCACATCCCTTTCCCCCATCCCCGCCCTCAAATGCAGCCATGAGGCTGAGCGTGCGCGAGGTGGACAAGCTGCGCCTGCATGCGGCAGGGGCGCTGGCGCAGAAGCGGCTGGCGCGCGGATTGAAGCTCAACTACCCCGAGGCCGTGGCTCTCATCGCCACCCAGGTGCGTAATCCATGTCACTGCACCGTGCCTTTTTATTAATCGCCACCTATGACCTGCCACGTGTGCACGATGGGACGCGCGGATTGAAGCTCAACCACCCCGAGGCCGTGGCTCTCATCGCCTCTCAGGTCCGAATGACTTCTCCAGTCGAATCAGACATCCGGCATGTGCGTTCATCAGTGTGTAATGAGTCATGTGCACCCGGCATGTGCGTTCATCAGTGTGTAATGAGTCATGTGCATCCGGCATGTGCGTTCATCAGTGTGTAATGAGTCATGTGCATCCGGCATGTGCGTTCATCAGTGTGTAATGAGTCATGTGCACCCGGCATGTGCGTTCATCAGTGTGTAATGAGTCATGTGCATCCGGCATGTGCGTTCATCAGTGTGTAATGAGTCATGTGCACCCGGCATGTGCGTTCATCAGTGTGTAATGAGTCATGTGCATCCGGCATGTGCGTTCATCAGTGTGTAATGAGTCATGTGCACCCGGCATGTGCGTTCATCAGTGTGTAATGAGTCATGTCCATCCGGCATGCGCGTTCATCAGGAACTGGCTCATGTGGCGATCCTCAGTTCTGCACCTTTCCTTCTTTCCAATCGCCTTCTGCCACTTTTTTCACGACGTGCCACGTGTCCCCACCATGTGCCACGCGTCCCATCATCTGCCCCGTGTCCCACGATCTGCCACGCGTCCCATCATCTGCCCCGTGTCCCACGATCTGCCACGTGTTCCCGTGGTCGCCAGGTGCTGGAGTTCATTCGCGATGGGAAGAGCGTCGCGGAACTCATGGACCTCGGCAAGCAGCTTCTGGGAAGGTTCGTTTTCCACTTGGGTTCTGAAAGAGGGAATAAAGGGGGGGGGGGGAGGGGGGGGGGGGGGGTAAGAGAGGGGGAAGCGAGGCTGGTGGGGGGGGGGGGGGGAGGTTGGGGAAGAGATACATAATTCGTGCCATGATTCAATGTTTGATCCTCCTCATTCACACCCCTCCCCCCCTTGCTCTCCCCCATCACCTGGCGCAATATGCTGCCAGCATTCCCGGTGCTGCTGGACGTGGTTCAAGCACCCCATGATGTGTTGTAGCCACCCTGTACTGTTTCCCCCCCAACCCAACCCAACCACCCCCCAACACAGGCGCAACATGCTGCCAGCAGTGCCAGTGCTGCTGGACGTGGCTCAAAACACCCCTAGTGTGTAACCCAGTTACCATCCCTTCTTCTCTTTCCCCCCCTCCCCCCCCCCCCCCTCCCCCTCATCACCAGGCGCAACGTGCTGCCAGCGGTGCCAGTGCTGCTGGACGTGGTTCAAGTAGAGGGAACCTTCCAGGACGGTACCAAGCTGGTCACCGTGCACCACCCCATCAGCCGAGAGGATGGCGACCTCTCTTTAGCGCTCCACGGCTCCTTTCTGCCTGGTCAGTCCTTACCCCCTTGCAAATAGCCCTCTCCCTCTGTGCTGTACCCCCAACCATCCCGGCTTCTCTCCCCTTTAGCCCTCTCCCTCTGTACTGTACCTCTTCGCTTCGCTGCGCCCTGTACCTCCGCCACGGCTCTAAGTGGCTCGAACACATCAGGGGAAAGCAAGCAGGGGGTAGCTTCGATCCATGCATTACCACTGCTTCCCCCCCCTCCCTTTACCCTGCCCTCTCAGTCCCCTCGCCTGACCTCTTCGCTCCACCAATCGCCACCACTGCTCTAAGTGGCTCCAGCACACCTGGGGAGATGCTAGTGGCGGAGACAGGGCCGCTGCTGCTGAATGCTGGCCGTGCTGCTGTGCGTTTGTCTGTTAGCAGCCGCTGCGACAGGCCCATTCAGGTGGGTATTTGGAGTGCATATGTGCGTCAACAGGAATTATCGGGTTGGTGTGTGGACGGTGGTTCATGATGGCTGCTTGGCTGCTTGGCTGCTGAATGCTGGGAGCGCTGCTGCGCGGCTCTCTGTCTGTCTGTCTGTCTGTCTGTCCGTCCGTCTGTTGGCTCATCATGACATCACATTTCACTTCTCTTCGATCTTCTTTCGTCTCTTCTTTCTTATCTTCTATCTCCCAGGTGGGAAGTCACTACCATTTCGTTGAGACCAACCCGCTGCTCTTTTTCGACCGCCAGCTGGCGTACGGCTATCGCCTCAACATCCTCCCCGGCACCGCTGTTCGGTTCGAGGTGAGTGATCTCATGTGAAATGTAACCATGTCACCGCGTTACCACTTCCATGCCTCCAGCTGGCGTACGGGGATCGTCTCAATGTCCTCCCTGGCACTGGTATCAGGCACACGAGGTGAGATACCAGGTGCACATGTATTTCTTTGTGTATGTTACCATGTTACCCCGTGTAGGGTTCGCCCTCCTGTTGGTTGACTGCCCGGTGGCATACGGCAGTGAATGAAGAGGAGGCGAGAGCCAATGACAGTCGCTTACGGCGATCGCCTCAATGCCTCAATGCTGGGGTGACTTCCTGATCTCAAGGAGTGCGTGTGGTGTTTGGCATGTACATGAATGTAAACACACGGCACATATACACAACGCACTGCTGTTGACTCAATACCTTGAGCCGATACTAGTTTTGAGGCGCCTCAAAACTAGAATGTAAACACACGGCACATGTACACCCTGCTGTTGACTCAGTACCTTGAGCCGATACCGTTGGCCCGCTAGTGGCACAAGCCCGATCGGCGATCGGGCATGTGTATGGTTGCGCCCGTTCTAGTTTGCTGCATTCCTCTTTCCTCCCATCCGCAGCCTGCTGAAACCAAGTCGGTGGTGCTGGTGGCAATAGACGGCAAGAGGGTGATCCCACGTGTTCCTTCTCTTTCCCTCCTCTCCCTCCCTCCCTTTTCTTTGCTCTGTCTGCAGCCTGGCGAAACCAAGGCCGTGGTGCTGGTGGCGATAGGCGGTAGTAGGGTGATTCGAGGGGGAAACGCCATAGCAGATGGGGCAGTGGACGAGAGCAAGGCGGCAGAGGTGGCTGCCAAGGCCGTTGCCATGGGATTCGGGCATGTTCCTGAGCCTAACGCACTGTGAGTCTGTGGTGCTGGATGGGTGATCCGAGGGGGCAACGCCATTGCGGATGGGGCAGTGGACGAGAGCAAGGCGGCAGAGGTGGCTGCCAAGGCCGTTGCCATGGGATTCGGGCATGTTCCTGAGCCTAACGCACTGTGAGTCTGTGGTGCTGGATGGGTGATCCGAGGGGGCAACGCCATTGCGGATGGGGCAGTGGACGAGAGCAAGGCGGCAGAGGTGGCTGCCAAGGCCGTTGCCATGGGATTCGGGCATGTTCCTGAGCCTAACGCACTGTGAGTCTGTGGTGCTGGATGGGTGATCCGAGGGGGCAACGCCATTGCGGATGGGGCAGTGGACGAGAGCAAGGCGGCAGAGGTGGCTGCCAAGGCCGTTGCCATGGGATTCGGGCATGTTCCTGAGCCTAACGCACTGTGAGTCTGTGGTGCTGGATGGGTGATCCGAGGGGGCAACGCCATTGCGGATGGGGCAGTGGACGAGAGCAAGGCGGCAGAGGTGGCTGCCAAGGCCGTTGCCATGGGATTCGGGCATGTTCCTGAGCCTAACGCACTGTGAGTCTGTGGTGCTGGATGGGTGATCCGAGGGGGCAACGCCATTGCGGATGGGGCAGTGGACGAGAGCAAGGCGGCAGAGGTGGCTGCCAAGGCCGTTGCCATGGGGTTCGGCCATGGGCCTGAGCCCAATGCGCTGTGAGCGAAATCAGCGGTGCTGCTGGCAGCATGGGACTGGTTTGGACCTTCCGCCGTGAAGTGCCAGCATGAAGTGCCAGCATGAAGTGCCAGCATGAAGTGCCAGCATGAAGTGCCAGCATGAAGTGCCAGCATGAAGTGCCAGCATGAAGTGCCAGCATGAAATGCCAGCATGAAGTGCCAGCATGAAGTGCCAGCATGAAGTGCCAGCATGAAATGCAGGCGTAAAACGCAGCCATGAAATTCGGGGGGGTTCTAATTCATCCGAGTCTCCCTCCTCCCTTGCCTCTTCCACCTCCACCCGTGTTCCCTTCAAGCAGCAAGGGAGTCGTGGGTCAAGACGAGGCTCTGACGGTGCGAGTGGAGAGGGAGCGGTATGCCGACGTGTTCGGCCCAACGGAGGGCGACAGAGTGAGGCTGGGGGACACGGCGCTGGTGGTGGAGGTGGAGAAGGACCTAACGGTGTATGGCGACGAGTGCAAGTTTGGTGGAGGGAAGGTGCTGCGGGAAGGCATGGGGCAGGTGAGAACTGAGGGGGGGGGGACCTGGGGGAGGGGGAAGCCTAGAGCGGACAGGGTGAGGCTGGGGGACACGGCGTTGGTGGTGGAGGTGGAAAAAGGCCTCACGGTTTTTGGAGACGAGTGCAAGTTCGGGGGGGGGGAAGGTGCTGCAGGAAGGCATGGGACAGGTGAGAACTGGGGGAGGGTGGGGATTGACTGGGGCAGGAGGGAATCTGGGCAGGGGGGAACTGGGAGGGGGCGGAGTGAGAGGGTGAGGGACATGGCGCTGGTGCTGTGGGACGGGACAGGCGAGAACCAACTGGGGCAGATGCAGTGCTTTTAAGCCGCCACATTGAGATGCTACTCTGGTCCCAGTCTAGTGACCCCCCAAACCTCCCCGCCCCCCCTTCCTTCCGCGTTGTCCGCATTGCTTTGTAGCACTTCAGCATTGCAGCAACATTTTGCCCCCCTTTGTGCTCTTTCTTCCGTCCCCCCCCTCTCCCAGCCAGCCCACAATTCCGAGCCCTCCACCTTCATCCCGTCCCCTCCTCGCCTCCCTTCCCTCCTTCCTTTCCGTGTTACCAGGTGACGCGAGTGACGGCAGAGGATAGTTTTCAGGCGCCTCAAAACCGTCACCTCCTCGCCTCCCTTCCCTCGCCTCCCTTCCCTTGCCTCCCTTCCCTCGCCTCCCTTCCCTCGCCTCCCTTCCCTCGCCTCCCTTCCCTCCTTCCTTTCCGTGTTACCAGGCGACGGGAGTGAAGGCAGAGGATGCGTTGGACGTGATTATAACGAACGTGCTTATTCTGGACCACTGGGGCATAGTGAAGGCGGACGTGGGCATCAAGGGCACGCGCATCGCGGGCATTGGCAAGGGGGGCAACCCCGATGTCATGGATGGGGTGGACAAGGGCATGGTGGTGGGGGTGAGTACACGGGAGGGGTGGTTGGTACTGCCAGTATGGTGGATGGGTGTGAGTGGGTGAGTGGAAGTGGGGACGAACGGGATGTGCATTGCAGGCTCTGGCAACAGGGGCAACCCAGACGTGATGGATGGGGTGGACAAGGGCATGGTGGTGGGGGTGAGTGTCGGAAGGGGTGATCATGAGAGATAGCAACAAACAAACCTATTCGTGAACTGTGACCTTGAGAGGGCTCTTATCTCAAAGTGCATGCCTGGCGTCTAGCTGACATGCCTGGTGAGTGATAGCAACAAACAAGCCCATTCGTGAACTGTGACCTTGAGAGGGCTCTTATGTCAAAGCACCCCCTCGTCCTCCATCTCCCGCTTTCCAGGTGTATTTTGAGGGGGGGGCTTTCCAGGTGTATTTTGAGGGGGGGGCTTTCCAGGTGTATTTTGAGGGGAGGGCTTTCCAGGTGTATTTTGAGGGGGGGGCTTTCCAGGTGTATTTTGAGGGGGGGGCTTTCCAGGTGTATTTTGAGTCGACAGGCCCTGGCGCGGCAAGCCTGCTCCCACTCAAAATACTCCTCCGTCTCCTCTTTCCATCTCTCGTGCTGTGCTGGTGACGACCGAGGTTGTCGCAGGCGAGTGCCTGATAACGGCAGCAGGAGGCAAGCAGTGCGCCTAACAGAAGATTGTGGGTCTTGCCCCATGAAACCTCACCTCTCCCCCACCCCCACACGTATATCCCCCACACGCATGAGATATAGCAACAAACAATCTGCCACATATTTGCCCCACACCCTGTGCAGGTGACGACGGAGGTGATTGCAGGCGAGGGGCTGATAATGACAGCAGGAGGCATCGACACCCACGTGCACTTCATCTGCCCCCAGCTGGCGGATGAAGCTATTTGCAGTGGTAAGGGTTCAAGGGGCACAAGATCATGTAGAGAAGGGTGGGTGAGGCATTGGCATCGACACCTACGTGCACTTCATCTGCCCCCAGCTAGCGGATGAAGCTATCTGCAGTGGTAAGGGTTCAAGGGGCACAAGATCATGTAGAGAAGGGTGGGTGAGGCATTGCATCGACACCCCCGTGCACTTCAGCTGGCGGATGAAGCCATCTGCAGTGGTAAGGGTTCAAGGGGCACAAGATCATGTAGAGAAGGGTGGGTGAGGCATTGGCATCGACACCCACGTGCACTTCATCTGCCCCCAGCTGGCGGATGGAGCCCTCTGCAGTGGTGAGTGATGGAATCGGTGCCATATGCAGCTGACCTGCCTGGCGTCTAGCTGACTTGCCTGGCGTCCAGCTTACTTGCATGGCGTCCAGCTTACTTGCCTGGCGTCCAGATTACTTGCCTGGCGTCCAGCTCGTGTGTAACAGGGCCTACTTGTGAGGCGCCCATAACCACCCCCAGATGGCATGGCTCGCGCGCAACAGGGCCCTTTTCTCCCCCCTGTGTTTCTGTCCTCCTGACTGCCCATTGTTCCAGGTCTCACCACTCTGGTGGGAGGAGGCACTGGCCCGGCACATGGCACACTCGCCACCACATGCACACCATCACCAGATGGCATGGCGCTCATGCTGCAAGCGACCGACAACATGCCTCTCAACTTTGGGTTCACTGGGAAGGTGAGTGCTGCTGGAGCGATGGGTGGTGATGGATACCAGTGTGTTGCTGGAGCGATGGGTGGTGATGGATACCAGTGTGTTGCTGGAGCGATGGGTGGTGATGGATACCAGTGTGTTGCTGGAGCGATGGGTGGTGATGGATACCAGTGTGTTGCTGGAGCGATGGGTGGTGATGGATACCAGTGTGTTGCTGGAGCAATGGGTGGTGATGGATACCAGTTTGTTGCTGGAGCGATGGGTGGTGATGGATACCAGTGTGCTGCTGGAGCGATGGGTGGTGATGGATACCAGTGTGTTTCTGGAGCGATGGGTGGTGATGGATACCAGTGTGTTGCTGGAGCGATGGGTGGTGATGGATACCAGTGTGTTGCTGGAGCGATTGGTGGTGATGGATGTTAACGCCGGCCCGCCAAGTTAGCTGGACGCTAGGCAAATTAGCTGGACGCCAGGGCAACACCTCACGTCCCGAGGGCAACGAACAGGGTGCGATACTTGTTAGGCTGCATGGCACACCTTTCTTCCTTGCCTTCCCCTCAGCCTTTCCCATGTTCTGTGAAAGGAACACTAACCAGGGCATGTCCTCAGCCTTTCCCATATCCCCCTCCTTCCTCCCTACCGAGGGCAATACCTCACGTCCCGAGGGCTTGATCGACATTATCAGGGCGGGCGCCATCAAGCTGAAGCTGCACGAGGACTGGGGCACCACGCCTGCAGCGATCGACAACTGCCAGAGATTCTCCTCTCTCTCCCATGTGCCACTTCCCCTCTCTCAGGCCAACACCTAGTTTTGAGGCCCCTCAAAACTAGGCGCCATAGGGAGCCATAAGGATGAAGCTGTAGGAGAACTGGGGCACCACGCCGGCAGCGCCCCATTCCTCCCCCTCCCCCCCATGTGCCCCATTCCCCTACCATCACCCAGGGCAACACCTCACGTCCTGAGGGCTTAATCGACATCATTAAGGCAGGAGCCATAGGGCTGAAGCTGCACGAGGACTGGGGCACCACGCCTGCAGCGATCGACAACTGCCTGAGTGTGGCGGAGGAGCACGACGTGCAGGTCACCATCCACACCGACACCCTTAACGAGTCAGCTTGTGTGGAGCAGACCATTGCCGCTTTCAAGAACAGGACTATCCACACGTATCACAGGTGAGACAGGAGCACAAAGACTTAGAGCATGACGTGAGCACGGGTGAGCACGGCGTGCGAACCTTTATCTGTTTTTTGGCTCCTCGGAACCAAACGATGAGGTACGCACTGATTCTGAAAGTAACATGGTTTCCACCCTCCCTCCCTCCCTCCCTCCCTCCCTCCCTCCCTCCCTCCCTCCCTCCCTCCCTCCCTCCCTCCCTCCCTCGTCCCCTTTCTTCTTCCTCCCCCTCCTCCCCTTCCTCCCCCTCCTTGCCCTCCTCTTTTCATTTCTTCAGTGAGGGAGCGGGCGGGGGCCATGCGCCGGACATCATCCGCATCTGTGGGGAGAGCAACGTGCTTCCATCCTCCACCAACCCCACTCGCCCCTTCACCACCAACACCGTGGACGAGCACCTCGACATGCTGGTGCGTGTGGGCTTATAACAAGGGCATCCTTGGCCTTATAACGAGGATGAACTGTAGCACCTAAGAGTCTGTTACCATCCTCCACCAACCCCACTCGCCCCTTCACCACCAACACTGTCGACAGACACCTTGACAAGAACCTCCGTCCAAGCACCTCTGTCCGAGCACCTCCGTCCAAGCACCATAGCAGCGGAGGACATGCTGCACGACATGGGTGCCATCAGCATGGTGTCATCAGCACGGTGTCATCAGCATGGTGTCATCCGACTCCCAGGCCCCGGGGGCGCATTTTGAGTCGACTCAAAAATCGACTTATGGCGCATCCTGACGCTTATGGCGCATCCTGACGCTTATGGCGCATCCTGACGCTTATGGCTTCTCCCAGGCCATGGGGCGCATAGGGGAGGCCATCACCCGCATACGGCAAACCAACCATACCAGCAAAGGACATCCATTTTTGAGTTCTCCCCCACGTGCCCCTCATTCCCTAACCTCCCTGCAGATGGTGTGTCACCACCTGGACAGCAACAACAGGGAGGACGTGGCCTTTGCCGAGTCTCGAATCCGAGCGGAGACCATAGCAGCAGAGGACATACTCCATGACATGGGCGCTATCAGCATGATGTCGTCCGATTCTCAAGCCATGGGGCGCATAGGCGAGGTCATAACCCGCACATGGCAAACCGCGCACAAGATGCGTGTCCAGCGGGGCCCTCTTGCCGAGGATAAAGACCCTGGGTTCGGCACCTATCCGAACGATAACTTCCGCGTGAAGCGGTACTTAGCTAAGTACACGATCAACCCGGCGATCGCGCATGGGTTCTCGCACCTGGTGGGGTCGGTGGAGGTGGGGAAGCTGGCGGATCTGGTGCTGTGGCGGGCGGCGTTCTTTGGAGCGAAGCCAGAGATCGTGGTGAAAGGGGGGGCCATCGCGTGGGCGCAGATGGGCGACGCCAACGCCAGCATCCCCACTCCTGAGCCAGTGAGTGTGCGGCTCAGTTTGCTATTGGGTTGTAAGTTTCTTTTGCTATGGCTGCAGCTGCATTCTGTTGTCCCTCCAGTTTGATAGCAGGTGCCTTATTGCGCCTTCTCTAGTCAGGTGCCCTGCTCCTATGCCCTGCTCTTATTCCTACTCTTTGCCCCTTCCTCTTTGTGACCGATCGGACTTTTGAGTGTTTTTTAGAGTTCTCAAAAACACCCTGCAAACTCAAAAGTCGGCTCCCTGCTCTTATTCCTACTCTCTCTCTCTCTGCCCCTTCCGCTCTGTCACCGATCAATCAGGTCATCATGCGACCCCAGTTTGCAGCAAGCGGAAAGGCTGTGGGCGGCCGCTGCTTGGCCTTCGTTAGCCAGGTGAGTCTAGGTGGTGTGACTGTAGCGAGGCGAGGCACACTGATGGTGACTGTTGGGAGGGTAGGTAAGGGGCGAGGCATGGTGTGACCACATCGAGTGGGCAGTGCTCCTGGGAGATGCTTTGTCCGTCGAAGCAATGTGTTACACCCCAACATAGAGAAACATAAAAATTCCACCTGTACTCGCTCTCTCTCCACCTGTACTCGCTCACTCTCTTCCCCATCCTGCCCCCCTCCGCCTCATTCCCCCCCCGCCGCTCTCCCCCCTCTTTCCTGTAATACCAGCTGTGTCACGAGACAGGATCACCAGCCAGTCTCAGCCTGTCCCTCCCATGCACTCATGCCGCAACCTGTGCCAGGACGACAAGATCCACACAATGGAGCCCTCCCAATCTCACACACTCCGCTCCCTTCCACCCCCTTCCCCAACCCCAATACCAGCTGTGCCACGAGACGGGTTCAGCAGCCAGTCTCGGCCTGTCCAAGACCCTCACCCCCATGCACTTGTGCCGCAACCTGTGCAAGGAAGACATGTTCCACGATGGACCCCTCCCAATCCCACCCTCTCTGTTCCCTCCTTATCGTCCGTCCACCCCTTCCCCCAACCCCCTTACCAGTTGTGCCACGAGACAGGATCAGCCTCAAACCTTGGTCTGTCCAAGACCCTCTCCCCCGTGCACTTCTGCCGCAACCTGTGCAAGGAAGATATGATCCACAACGGAGCCCTCCCAGCCATCCACGTGGACCCTGAGACCTACCAGGTCACTGCTGACGGGGTGCCGCTGACGTGTGCGCCAGCTGGCGAGCTGCCACTGGCCCAGAGCTACTTCCTCTTCTAAGGGAGAAGGGGAGCGGGTAGGGGGGGGGAACGGGTAGGGGAGCGTTGGTGTGGTTTAGAGAAGTAGATAGAGAGTAAGGGATTGGGAGGGGTAGTAGAGTAGAGGACAGCCTTTTAGTGGAGGTGTGAGAGTACGGGGGAGGTAGAGTGGGATAGGTGAGGAAAGTTGAGTAAGAAGGAAACATATGCGCAGTAGGATCGTTCGATTCCTTGAGGCGTTCCTGACCCTCTTCTGAGTGTGCCGTTCTGGACGAAAGGCCCTAGTTTGTGGCTGACTAAGGCAGCCAGGGGAACAAGTTCGTATAGCAAGCAACATGGAGCGTCAACAGCAGCAGCAGCAGCAGCAGCAGCAGCAGCAGGGGGCAGCTACTCCTACCCTCCCATCCGACTGGGCGGTGTGGCAGCTGCTGGACTCGCTGCTCCCAGCTGGCGGTTTTGCCCACTCGCTGGGTCTCGAAGCAGCGGCCAGGGCTGGCTTTCTTGCTGGTGGGGCAGGCAGAGGGGGAGGCAGAAGCAGCGCTGGGGAAGGTGGGGGTGGAGGTAGTAGCAGCGGTGGGGCAGGTGGGGGTGGAGGTAGTAGCAGCGGTGGGGCAGGTGGGGTGGAGGTAGTAGCAGCGGTGGGGCAGGTGGGGGTGGAGGTAGTAGCAGCGGTGGGGCAGGTGGGGGTGGAGGTAGTAGCAGCGGTGGGGCAGGTGGGGGTGGAGGTAGTAGCAGCGGTGGGGCAGGTGGGGGTGGAGGTAGTAGCAGCGGTGGGGCAGGTGGGGGTGGAGGTAGTAGCAGCGGTGGGGCAGGTGGGGGTGGAGGTAGTAGCAGCGGTGGGGCAGGTGGGGGTGGAGGTAGTAGCAGCGGTGGGGCAGGTGGGGGTGGAGGTAGTAGCAGCGGTGGGGCAGGTGGGGGTGGAGGTAGTAGCAGTGGTGGTGGTGGGGCAGGTGGGGGTGGAGGTGGCAGTGATATGGTGGCGTCGCTGCAAGGGTTTGTGCTGACGGCTGTGCATGCCAACGCGGCCCTGCTGCTGCCCTTCGTTGCCACGGCACATGGCATTGCTAGTGCTAGCAAGGATGCCAGGGGGCAGGGGACTGCAGCTGCAGCAGCTGCAGTGTCAAAACCAGCAGAAGTCGCACCAGAAACAACAGTGGCAGGAACAACAGCAGCACGAGTAGCAGCTGGAGCAGCATTCGGTCGTGATTGGCCCAGGGATAGCGCCTCCTTCTCTTTTGACGAGCCGGTTCTCCAACCAATAGTGGAGCGACACGTGGCACGTGGCGCGTTTGGTGATGCGCTGGCAGCAGCCGACAGCTGCCTGAACGCCATGCTGGCGAATGATGTGGCACGCAAGGTATGGATGGATGGGAGCGATTACAGGCAAAGAAAAGGTGGGATGACAGGTATGACATGGTAGGAGCGGCACAGCAGGGATAGCGTTGCAATACAGAATGTATAGTTGTGTTTTTCTCTGCCTTTTATCCAGCAACCATCTTCATTTGCTCTTATAGAATCTTGGCGGGCTCTCATTCTCATTCTCATTCTCATTCTCATTCTCTCTTTCCATCCTCCCATATGCTACCCCACTGAGTCGACTCAAAAGTTTCCATCCTCCCATATGCTACCCCACTGATCCCCCCTCAGGTGACTTTTGAGTCGACTCAAAAGTTTCCATCCTCCCAATTGCTACCCCACTGATCCCCCCTCAGGTCTCTCTCTCCCAGGGCTCGGCTCTCCTGCGCGTGGCCAGCACTGTCTTCCCAGAGGCCTCTCCCCTGCTCTCGATCTATCGCACGAGGACACGTCAGCACGCCACACAACCCAGTCAACCGAGTCAAAGCACGTCCTCTCCTCGTGCCTACGGGCATCATGCGGTGGTGTTCGGTGCGCTGTGCGGGTGTATGGCCATCCCCCTGCCCTCCGCCCTGCGTGGCCTCGTCTACTGCGCTCTCAGGGACTGCCTGTCTGCTGCACACGGCTCAACCTGATTGGCCCGCTGCAAGCTGCGGCGATCCAGAGGGAGATGGTGAGAGATGCGGAGAGGATAGTGGCGGACGTGGGAGGAGGGGGAGGAATGGCGGGAGTGGCTGGAGTGGCAGGAGTGGAAGGCGAAGGAGGGCACTTTTGCATATCGCAAGAGTTGGAGGGGTCTGGAGTAGGGGCTGTGGATGCGTGCACTGCCCCCTTGCCCTTGGACGCAGCGTGCCAAGTGAGCCCCATGGTGGAGATCATTCAGGCCGGGCATGCTGCCCTCACCAGCAGACTCTTCCTCTCGTAATTACAGCGTTGACCAGCGTTGACCGGTGTTGACCAGTGTTGACCAAGCGTGTCAAGTGAGCTGTATGGTGCAGATTATTCAAGCAGGGCACGCAGCCCGTACTAGCAGACTCTTCCTCTCGTGAGGGGCCGAATCCAGGCCGTCTCAGGTTGCGAGATGGAAGAGAGGGAGGCAAAGGAGGAGGGACAAGCTGATGCGCAGGCTGAGGGGACGGGCGCAGCACAGGGACAGACTAAGGGAGCAACAAAGGGACAGACAGAGAGATTGACACAAGGTCAGATGCAGGCCGGTGCAAGTGGAGGGAAGGAAGAGAGTGAGGCGATGGCGGGGGGACGAGCTGATGCACAGGCCGAGGGGACGGGCGTGACAGGCGGACAGACGAAGGTAGCAACAGAGGGGCAGAGAGACGGGCAGAGAGTGGGTCAGAGAGGGCAGAGAGGTGGGCAGACACAAGGAGAGATGCAGGGAGCAGGTAGGGAAGAAGGTGGAATTCATCGATTGGGCAGTGGGCGTGGCAGTGTGCACACAGCGGGGCACGCGGGCGGTATGGATTGGACTGGAGTGCTGGTGGTGCAGCTGGTGGGCGGCCGCAGCACAGCAACAAGAAGCTTCTGTCGCTACCCGCTCAAGATCATGCTGCCTTCTAAGGTACGTCTTGCAAGGATTGGCATTGCTGCCTAGGTATGCTGGAGCAGAACATAGGTGGCCTGTGCAATGAGACACGCACAGCACGGCAACGAAGAGCTCCTGTCGCTACCCGCTCAAGATCATGCTGCCCAACAAGGTACTCATGACAAGGAATAGTGAGCCAACGGGTAGTGACCCGGGGGGGTATCGTGAGTCGGGGGGAAACCATAGTGTCCCCGGGAAGCATTGTGGGACCTTGGGAAGTGAGACCAAGGGAAGCGAGACCTTGGGAAGTGAGAACTGGGAAGTGAGACCTTGTGAAGTGCGAACTTGTTAGGCGAGACCTTGTGAAGTGCGACCAAGTTAGGTGAGACCTTGTGAAGTGCGACCTTGTTAGGTAAGACCTTGTGAAGTGAGACCTTGGGAAGTGCGACCAAGTTAGGTGAGACCTTGTGAAGTGCGACCTTGTTAGGTGAGACCTTGTGAAGTGCGACCTTGTTAGGTGAGACCTTGGGAAGTGAGACCTTGGGAGGTGAGACCTTGGGAACTGAGACCTGGGGAAGTGAGAGCTTTGGAAGTGAGACCTTGGGAAGTGAGACCTTGGGAAGTGAGACCTTGGGAAGTGAGACCTTGGGAGGTGAGACCCATCGTCCACCGGTGGACGCGCGTCCACCATCCACCGTCCACCGTCAACAGGTGGCGCGTCCACCGTAAACCCTCCACTGTCCACCATCCACCGGTGGACGCGCGTCTGCCGTCCACCGTCCACCGTCCACCGTCCACCGTCCATCAGTGGATACGCGCCCACCGTCCACCGTCCATCGGTGGCGCGTCCACCGTGACCGTCCCCTGGTGGACACGCGACCACTGTCCACCGTCCACATGTGGACGCGCGTCCACCGTCCATCATCCACAGTCCACCGTCCTCCGTCCACCGTCACCATCCACCGTCCACCGTCCTCCGTCCACCGTCACCATCCACCGTCCACCGTCCTCCGTCCACCGGTGGACCGCGCGTCCACTGTCCACCGTCCACCGATGGACACGTGACCACCGTCCACCGTCCACCGTCCTCCGTCCACCTGTGGACGGGCGTCCACCGTCCACCGTTTACCGTCCACCGTCCACCGGCACACAGGGTGGTGGCAAACCACTGGGAAACCATTCAGGGTGGTGGCAAACCATTGGGAGACCACCCATTGATGCAGTGTAGAGTGGACGCAGGTCGATGCCTGGTGCTGATGCAGTGCGGGCATACATCATCACCTAGGGGGGGTCATAGTGGCAGGAGATACTTTAGTCCCCCTCCTCCCGTCCGCCCTCTTCCCCTCTCGTTCAGGTTGCTGCCTCAGGCGTGGACGCAGTGTGGGCGTACATCATCACATACGGGGGCGGCATAGTGGCGGCGACAGGGTGACTCTATCCTGTGTGGTGCAGTCAGGCGCCACGGCAGTATTCGCATCGCAGGCGTCCACCAAGATCTTCCACTCCATGCCGGGTAAGGCGACTCAAGTCAAGCTGCCTGTTGCCAGGTTTTGAGGCGCCTCAAAACTAGGTAAGGCGAGTCAAGTCAAGCTGCCTGTTGCCAGGTGTGTCAGGTGACAGGGTGACTCCCCTCCTGTTTCACTCACTCAGGCGCCACAGCAGTATTCGCATCGCAGGCATCCACCAAGATCTTCCACTCTGTGCCCGGTGAGTGAGGCGCTGAAGATCTTAGCCCAGTGAGTGAGCGAAGGTGATCTGCAGCACATGGGGACAACCGCGTCTGCCTACTCAAAAGGTGGCCGAGCTGGAAGAATGTACCTGCCAGCCATCGAGTTGTTTCTTCTATTCTCCTGTCACTACCCTCCCCTCCCTCCTGCCTGCCCCTATTCCCTCTGATTCCTGCTCCAGTCTCCAACTTCTCTTCTTTCAATCACCCTCTTTTCCTTCCCCACCTTTCCCCCATCCCCTCCCCTTCTCTGACCTCCTTTCCCTCTCCTGCTCCCAGGCACCCCACCAGCCCGCCAGCTCATCACCACGTCCATCCAGCCTGGCGCCTTGCTGGCGGTCCTGCCTGAGCCAATCACGTGCTTCCGTGCGGCGCAGTATCAGCAGCTGCAGAGCATCCACGTGGCACCAGGTGGCAGCCTCGTACTGGTCGACTGGCTGACGAGTGGACGGAGGGACCGAGGGGAGGTTTGGGAGATGGAGTGTTACGAGAGTTGTAACCGAGTGTACCAGGAGGGAGAGGAGATTCCTCTAGTCTTCGACAAGGTTGGTTTGATGCATTTTTAACGGTATTAATTGCTGGCGTCATCAGACATGTAGTTAGTTAGCTATTGTTACCGAACTTCTGTTGGAGAAATGGTGCATCCTGGGCCTCTGTTCGTCCGACTCCCACGCTGCAGGTGAAGCTGTCAGCCAATGCGGTGGTGCCACCTGGACAGCAGCTTGAAGGGCATCCATGTGCTCACGACCATCATCATCCTGGGGTGAGTGCAGGACCACCCTTGATATTAACGGGTGTTCCTAATTTAGTCTGATCGCCACATATTGAGTGATTCTTGCATGGAAATCACCTCCTTTCCCCCCCCCGTCCCACTCTTGCTGTCCCCCATTCGTCGTTCCCCCACTCTCCACCCCTACCCACAAACATGCCCTATACACCCCTCCCCCACCCCTTCCCCTCACCCCCCCTTCCCCATCCAGTCCACGCACGGAGGGTCTAAGAGCCCACCTGAAGGCAGCGGTGGCGTTGCAGCAGCTGCAGCTTTCAACCCCAGAAGGAGCGGAGCTACGCCTCTGTGCCCGCCACTTGTGTCACCAGTGGTCTCCACCCCCCTCTCCCCCCTCCCCCCTCTCCCCCCCATTCCCCCATCCAGCCCACGCACAGAGGCTTTACGAGCCCACCTGAAGGCAGCGGTGGCACAAGCAGCAGCTGCAGCGTTCAACCCCAGAAAGAGCCGGAGCTACTCCTCTGCGCCTGCCCCTACTGCCGCCAGTGTCCCTTCTGTTACATCGGGAGTGCGTGGCCCGTTTGCTCCTAGTGCTACTCCAGAAGCGAGTGCTTCTGCAGTAGCAGGTGGTGCTGTGGAGACTACAGTGTGGGGGTGTTCGTCCGACATGGGACATGTAAGTGTTCTCAACTGTACTTGTATGCTTACAAGTAGATCATTCCATGGTTTTCTCTCCTGTTGCAGTCGAACACGTCAACCTAGTTGGTTTCTTATTCGTTTACCGTTTATATTCCTATCCATGCACATCCTTTTCGTTCTCTCTATCTCCATTGCATTCACTGCATCTCATTGGCAGGATGATCTTCTTGTTGTGCGTCTAGCTGCTGAAGATGTTAGTGCCATGTACCATTTTCTTGCCACAAACTTAGGGCCACTTATTCCACAGATTGGTTGCAACCCTTACACAAACTGAGCCGATTCGTCCTTGTTTTGTTCGTAGCGAACACTCGAGAAATTTATGCACATTTTCAAGGTCTTGTAAGCAATGGCTGCTTGGTTAATGCTGATGCACGAACTAGGTTTATAGTGTATGCATTTATCACGTTGATGTGGTTGGTAGCAACCACTAATAAGGAGGATTTTCCTTCTCATCACGAGTCATTTCCCGCCAATTGATGCGATTGTGGGTTGTCGCGAGCCCTTTATTGCAGGTTGACGTTTATCCTGACCGTGGGCTTCGTTTCATGATCATGTTGCCCGGATTTGCAGTAGCTCCAAGACAAGACATCTGCCATACCCCTCGCAGCATTTCTTTTTGGCCGCTGACAGGTGCTCTTGCCCGTTCGGTTCTCCATACCGCCGTTCAAAGGCGCAGCGACACTTTCGCCACCAGCTAGGCGAAGTCGCCTGCATGCGACGGCTACTTTCGCGGTTCGCAAGGCGAAAACGGACCCCGCTGCCCGCGCGAGCGAACGCACGGAACTTCATTGGCCTTCCAAAGCCACCCAGACTTTCGCAGCCCGGGCCCGAACCAAACGGGGCCGCCAAAAACTTTCGGCAACCATATCAGGGAGGCGGATCAAACCAGTTCAACGA